AAAAACACGTTTGGAAATTGGTCACGGTGTAGACAGGCGCATCAGAGAATCTTCGATACTGGTTGTACATTATGGTCGTCACGACAATATTAACCAAAGGCGAATGCAGGAAGGATCGAAGACGGCGAAGGCAACGAAAATAATATGGTATACGTACCTAATGTGTTAACACGATAACAACCCATTAAGGTAAGACGGTGGTTCTCCCGAACCATTACGCACTCTCCCAGATATAAATATTATGTTTTTACGGTGAAACCTAACACAATATAACAACACACATAATAATAATATTATAATGACATTATCGATCGTCTGGTGCGCGCTTTATAAAATTCCTCGTTCATTGCGGCTGAGTGTTCATATACGATTTCGTCCAACGAGCTCGTTAACGGCCGCCGTAAAAAAAATAATCAACGAGTCTCGCGCACGTTTTTAGTCCGCGACAAGATATGTTTTTTTGATTTTGAACACGGCAAGGTCAGCGGGGATGTCGACACTCGACGATATAATAATATAATATTATAACTTGAAACTGCCGTCGAGAAGTATAAGATACGCATGTGTTATGTACACACATCACATACGCGTGTTAAATATAATAGACAAACTGTAAATTCCTCGAGTTTCCGGCTTCGACTTGCCTATGCACCTACGTCCTACCGAATGAATTAGACACGAGAGGTGTACCTAAGCTTCTTACGTAGCGGCTGAGCGTTATAACTTATAATATTATATTATCGTAAAATATCAATAGTTAATATTCGTACACCATCTGTCCCTTTTCCGTTAAGTTTTACATAACGACGGTCGCAGGTTATAGTTTTTTTTTTTTCAAAATACATATTATAATTATTGCTGATGATGTCGAAAACGAATTGAACGAGTTACGCCATATAATGTCCCAGAATCCTAAACGTCTCGTCATGGGGGCGAGGTGATCGGCTTTTATTTTTACGGTGCATGATAGAATGTCGCCTTACCTATGACAATATAAGAGGCGGCGTGATGCGTTACTCAATTATATTATGATGTGTATAATATAATAATATGTTTGGTGGACGCGCGTGTTTATTTCATAAACAATTATTACTGGAAATAAAAAAATTAAACCACCGTCACTCGTCGACTCATTGCTTATGGTTATGACACTACTAGGTGTGTTGATATATTATATAGATTATATTATTACTTTACTGAGTGTCGTGTTTTGAGAATCCGTTTTACAAATACAATATAATAATAATATTATAGTGCACGCTCTGGCCGAAATCCAACAGACCTACTTAATCATATAAAAACACAAACGCGTACGTGCATGATTTATCATACCAAACTGCAGTATATGCCGAACCAGACCATTGGCTGCTATTTTAAAGTGTCCGATACAACTATTGATGGACTTTTTCTTTTACAATATAGATAAATAATATTACTCGAATGCGTTATATTTTTTTCATCCTTATTTGTAAAGTAGTAAATAGCCAAACGAGAGTACCGTGCAAGTTGATTCTTTAAAACACCAGGTCGAAGCTTTTGTTGAAAAGCCGAGGTTATCGAATGAGACAATACGTTTATTGATAGTGCTTCAACGACTATTGCGAAAAATAGCGTTAGATGGTCATAGACTTTGTACCCGTGAAAATGGAAAATTTTTCAATTCAATTTTAGAATAATACGCTATGGCTATTGCATATAACCTCAAAGTGGCTCATTTATTTAAAAAAAACACCAACTGACGAGTTAGGTGCAAAACACGAATAAATAAATGGCTGCACCTACGCACTCATACCTACAGTTGTATATTGTATGTATACCAATCGCAACCTATAGGTAATGATGATCGTATCGATATTGTATATAAAGGAATGGATAGGACAAGCAACCTTATATACCACCAACTACGTGCTCCTCTCTTCCCCCAAAAAACTACAGCGCATATACATAGTTGATGATATTATATAAACTGCTTGTCCTATCCATTGCTTTATACATTTACTTTATATTCTATCCGACCTTTACCTATAGTTATATACAGCTGGTAATCTCGTTATACATATAGGTGCTAGGTACCAGCCATTCCACTCGTTTCGGCATCGAATTTGTCGGTTTGCATTTTTTTTTTGTGCAATTAACATTAAATCGTTTTCGTCTCACTGCGCAGATAACTTAGAGTGCCACCGCATAAGATAGGGCACGCGCGCTGCAAGTCCAACACACGGGAAGTGCATCGACGATAAGGCGGAGACGGCGGAAGTCGTCTGTTTTGACGAAACAATATGCTGGCGACACGCGACGTCGATAGGACTTTGTTGTTAAATTCGCGAAATAAACATAAAAACCTATGGCGCATAATATACGAGAAAACCGAAAACGAGATGCGTATAAAACGATCGCGAAACAGCGTTGTATATAGTTGTACGGCCGTCGACGTTGTTATTGTTATTGCAAACGTTTCGGACGAATTTCGATTTTCGCGCACGAACGGCAAATGGAAAACATCATTATGACGACGGCGTCGAGGTCGTCTCCGCCGCCGCCACCAAGTCTATGTAGGTATTCTCCGGTCGGGAAAAAAGAAAACAATATTACGTTATTGCGTCCCGGCGGCGGCGAGTTATATTAAATAATCTAATAATATTATAATGTTATACTCTTCGACGCAATATTTATGACATACCACGTCTCAACAACAATCCGATAACAATAATAAAAACAATAATGACGGCGATGACAATATATACGTGTCTCATTATAATAAGCGTACAACAGCGGCGGTCCGACGTCATAATAATACAGCACGTATAGCGTACACCGTACAACACAACAATATTGTCGCAGCGCAGTCGTGTGCCTATTTGTACGTGGCGTTTTCGTCACAACATAGGTGCCTATATGAATCGGACGACGACGACGACGTTACGCCACGCGAGTTTTGTGACACGGCTGCCGCGGACTGGACGACCGGACGGACGGACGGTCGCAGGGCGGGCGGGACGAGCGAACCGCGAGAGAAAGTGTGGCCGCGGAGGGCACCGTGCAGAGAGAGAGAGAGAGAGAGAGAGAGAGTGGCTGCGGTAAAATCCGTCGTCGTCGTCGCGAAGGTCGATGGGTAAAAGAACATTTAAGTGCTCACAGTTATAATAATAATAATAGTAGTAATATTATTATGTAAATTTCACCGTGCTCGAAATACCGGTAGTACTGGTATACGCGCAAGACTTTGATATTATTATGATATAGGTACTTTTACGGTACGACGTCGTACATGCCGGTAATATTATTATAATACATTTACATAGAATAATATTATATTAGCGGTCGTCCTCGGCGCGTTCGTCGAACGACCGGCGTTATGTAATTATTTTACTTTTTAGTGTGCGCAACGACTATCCGGACGAGGAGATCTAGACGGCCCGGGGGGAGAGAGTGTCGATAGAGGAGAGAAAATGTTATCCGATTGTTGTGTTGTTAAATATTATGTTTTATAATATACGGTTTACCAATCAATATTATTATTCGGTCGGCGCCGTTGATATTGATTAATGCTATTCGATTTATTGTTACTATTCTTCGTATGTACGCCTTATATTATCGTCTGGATTACGACAGCGAGCTGTGCGGTCGGCGGCGTTTGACGAGGATGTAGGAAAATAATAAAGAAATAACTAGGTAGGTATGTCGTTATTATTGTTCTTTTTCGTTGGCACATAGCGGAAAAACGCGGCTACTTGTCACGACGACGACAACGACGACAAAGGCTATACAATGTGAAATAATATAATAAATCGTGTTTATTCGTCGTCGTCATTGCCACCGCCGTTACTACCACACCTACACGAGTACGGATGTCTGCAACGGAGTCCATACCGTGATAATAATAACTATATACGATGTCTATACGATATATACTATATCAGCGATTCCAGTGATAATAATATCACGACTCTCCAGTGAGATAGTTTTTCGAAGCGCGTAGACTACAACTTACAGTCCTCTGTCCATGGTGGTGAGGTGGGTGAGGTGGACCGCGGATATGAAACCGGTTGTGTTATGCGCTCGAGTCCAAGACTCCCGCCGCGTCGAGACCTTCGCGAACATGTAGTTTGCACCGATCAGTTAGTCGAGAGCGAGAGAGAGAGAGAGAGAGTGAGAAAGAAAGAATGATAATATGGCAGTGCAGGCGGTGGTGTTGGTTTGCTGCTGAAGACGAAACGATGAGACGGACGGATGGAGAGCGAGAAATGTAGATGCGAACTGACCAATACTGCAGGGAGAGATATGGAGTGAGAGGAAAAGAAAACGACAAGCGTTGGCTGGTTCCGCTCTTCGACAACGTTCCGGATCGCGTGCACTCGGACTCGCTCACGACGACGGGTTTGTAAGTGTATATGGATCGCGTGTGTGTGTGTGTGTGTAGTACGATGTAAGTTCGAAGAGCACTTTAATGTGAACTAATGTAAAGTATAGGTACCTACCCACCTATCTGCAGAAATATATAATAACTATAATGCTACCCGACAGCCGATAATATTAATAAGTGAGTATATTATTATTATGATTACGGTGAGTTGGTGAGTAACATAAACTAACACCGTAGTGGCGCGCACACGTATGCACCGCCGCTGTTTTAGATTTCTCTTCGCGGGGCCGGTTGACCGTGTCATCGAGCGCGGCCGGTTCAAGCCACGGGTATCTTATATTATATTATAAAACCAACTAACCCGATCGACCAACTATATACGGTTAACTAGGTAGCTAGGTAGGTAGGTAGACAGTGCAAGTATACAGATGTATAAACCGCGTGACCATTTTAGCGTGGTGGGATGGGGGGAGAGGAAGCAAAGTTGCCACCGCCGTGATGTCGTGTGTCGTGCGGCTACCGACACAATCGTATACTGAACATTGAAGGAAATATATTGTGGCAATAACACAATTAAATAAATATAATAAATATATATATCGAACATAGAAGCATATAATATCGTATGGGTACTTACACCACTTGCGCAGGAAGCTACTGGTGAGCTTAGTGCACAGCTTGCCCTTTTTGTTATGCATCTCGATGACTGCCGGTCGGTGTGTGTGTGGCCTTGAGGGCTGCTACTGGCGGGTGTGTAGGTCGGTTTGTCGGTTTACCAAACGCGGCTCGAGTTCACCGAGAGAACATCAATCAGACGAGGACGATATCGCAAGTTATTTGCGCGTATTGCGCGCACCGCGAGGCGGCGGGCTTTCGGTCTAACGCGATTTACGGATAATATTATTATTATTATTTACACGGCGCCAAAGGAGAGAGAGCTGCTGCTGCTGCGGCGGCGTCGTTACGTGTGCTCGAAGCGACTCGTGGCGTTGAAAGTACACGAGTCGGTGGCAGCGGAAACGGTGGTGGCGTCGGTGAAGAATAGTATACCTACGACGAGCGCGCAGGGGAACGTTGTACGCCGCAGTCGACGATGTTGTGTTGTTGTGGTTGCCGTGTTTCGCAGTGTTGTTATGGTGTGTGTGTGTGGAAAATCGTCGAAACGATTATAATAATCGTATAAAAAATATTTGCTGTCGGTCCGTGCTACAGTAGTTGGGCGGTGGGTCGCGATAACAGACTGACTGACTCGACTTGACCGACGGACTGCAGCGGCGGCGGATGGCTCTCGCGGCGCGCGCGACCTCACTCCCTCCCTCGCCAATGGCCGACGCGCTCTCACCGCCACGACCGCTCTACTCGCGCACCACAAGAATATATAATTCACAAGAAGAAGAAGAATAAGAAGTAGAAGAAGGTTACGTCGCCGCCGCGATGGTGACACGTCGATAACGTACCAGTTACACACACACACACACACACACACACCAGGCTGGTCGTCTTCACTCGGGAAGCGTTCGCCGGTTTTAAGTGCCCTAGTGAAGATATTATCTAAAACATTGAACAATATATTTTTTGTATATACTATACAAATCATTCAAATTACTAAAGATTTTTCATTGTATAGAAAATCCTTGTCACAAGTTCAACCACAATGGACGGTGGAATAGGAGAAGTTTGTCCCAAAAGTCCCATATCTCCACAAGTATTGTTTATGTAATTTAGTTTTTAAAATTTTCAAAACTGCTGTTTTTTTTTGAAAATTGTTAAAATTATAAAATTGATTATTGAATAATTTAGAGTTGTCATCAAGTTTTTGATTTTAGGATAATTATTTTTTGGGGAGGGAGGATTGAAAAACCGGTTGAAAACCTTTTAAACTTTTTTAAAACCATAACTTCGAGATATCTCGCTAATGATTTTTTGTCTTGTTCCTTTACTATTGACGGTTGACCATAATAATATAATGCTCCAGCTGTATACATCGCATCCTATATGTTAATATTCGACAATACTATAAAATCGGGATGACCTGATGATTAAATCCCAATTTTTCTCGGATTCGTTATTATTTTGTTGTCATCGTGGTACCTATATTGTATATGATGATCTCGATCGGTTAAAATACCGGCCTTTTTATGTGGCGTTATTGTAGCGTGAAGACGAGATGGACGATAGTAGCTCTGTATACGGAATCAAAGGGGTGGGGGGGGCGGAAGAGCCTCGCCTTCAACCAGGCCTTGTGTAATATTTCATGTATACGCATGCAAACATCAAGTTTGACGGAAAATCTGAAATACCACTCAATCAACTTGACTGAAAATTATTAACATTTTTTAATATTACATTATATTAATTTACAGCATTTTCCACGTTTATGCGTTCCTTTAATTCGGGAGTCGATTAATTCTGCAGCAGTAACGTGCTTATAACTCATTTTTAATGTGCATTACAAATTTAACTAGGCTTGTCAAATAGAAGTAAGTAGTAACTTTTAAAAAAAAATTGTATATACTGCTAATATTACGGCCTTAATATTTTTTGGCGGGTATTTCAAACTGTTAAATTCTTTACAACAATCATATTATACCTATTGCATACATCACGGAATAATGTATTTGGCTGGAAATAAAAAACTTTCACATTATCGGTTATGTTATATCATAGGTACTGAATTCCAGAATGTATAAATCAAAAGACTAATTCGCATTAATAATAAACGTGGCAAGTATAAGTGTCTCGTTATAAATATAACCGATTCAAATTATTTCGTTTAATAATTATGTTGTCATCCGCTCCGCGAAAAATAAATAAAGCCAGATTCGCTACTGGACGGTAAAAGTGAAAATCAATATTTAAGGACGTCGTCGTCATTTGCAGATAATTAATAATAATTATATCGTAACAGTGTACAAGTATAATGTATTCGCAATGTACGTTTATATACATTGTACATCTATACATGACAGTATATAGTGTAGTGCTTATTACATAGCATAATAAATTAGAGCTGCAAAATGATACGGTGGAGAACGACGTGCGTAAAATACAACGAAAAAAAGTTGGAAATATTAAAATATTATTATACAACACGGCTGATGTATGCACACGAATTATAATGGTTTGGCGACGGGTGAGAGGACGACCGCGCCGAGGACGTCGTCGGCAGCGGCGAAAGTGATTCGAAACCGCGAATGTTATACACGAGCATAAACTATAATCATTAATCATTAACAACGGAAATAATAATTATTAGTGTAATAATAATATCAACACTGAAAAATATTTAAAACCATACGGCCGTCGGACCAAGTCAAAGTGTATTATTATGCTAATAGTATATATATATATATATATATATTATAAATTCGTGGTGTAGTGTATATAAACGAAGAAAAAAACCGATTCACCAATTAGGTTGGAATATGAAAGTAAATAAAAAATTTTAAAAACACGGTAAAAATGGTAAGCGTATTTATTTATTGTTTTTTTCCCCTTCATATCTGTTTACCGCAGTACAACTATATTCTTGATACCTACCTGCAGTAAGCTGAAAGCGGTGTTTATATCATCGGAAGGTATCTGCGTTTAAATTCGAGGTTTGATGTAATTTTTATTTGAGTATAATAATAAAAAAAAAATACACGTTTTAGTAATTACAGTTAATTCATAGATCATAATAATATATTCTATCAGATTCTAATTTTTTTTTTTTTTTTTGTGAGATAAGCAATTTTTGTGAATTTTCAAGGATAGTTTTATATTTAATATATTTATGTACCTATTCATATAAAATGTGATGTGATTAACTTAATGATTAGGCAAGGTAAAACTAATTATTGTATAAAATAGCACTACAATATTATTTCAAATATTAAAATATCAACAACGTAAGTTACAGGTCATAACAATATATTGTTAGGTATATCATCACCTAACAACAAAATCAGTAAAAATAACTTTTTTCAAAGCAATTTTCTCTTTCATTTACAACTTATAATTTTGCTAGTTATTCCTAGGTTTTCTCGAGATTTCAATTAGTTTAGTTACCTATAATAATAATGGTAAGCATAAGTACTAAAATCAATACAACTTTAACAGATTGTAATTTAAAAAGAAATATTTTTGAAAAATATATACTTTCAATAGAAATAGAAGTAGTTTTCTGAAATAACAAATAAATATAATAAAGTGAAAAATGTAAGTATTAATATTATTGTTATAAAGATATAATTTTTAATATTTTTTAAAAAAGTTCAGGAAAGTATAATTCATCATAATTTAAAAGTGAGTTATAGTAAGTAGATAGTATGTATTGTATTTAGCACAGTACTAAAAAGTAGTAAATAGTATGTTATACGTCCTTACCTAAGTACTTATGTAGAATTATAATTTATTAAGATAAATTAATATTGTTAATAATATGTCAAGTTTTAAATTATTTTCCTTTGAAAGCAAACTATTTTATAATATCACATTTATTTAAAAGTTTAATCATTATAATTTTAAATATGTGTTATTACATTAATTGTAGCTATAGAAATTAATAGGTTCTAATTTGTTTGATAAATGTATAACAGTTTATATAAACCATTTATGGATTACCATGAGGGAAGTTCGTACATTTTAACATGTGAAATTTTGAATCAAACAATGTTCAATATTTACATTACTAATTGCAGGATAATTATTTTATAATTCGTAGTGAATTCTTTGTTGGTGAATAGGTGATTATAGGATATAAGGCATAAGCTAAAATTACACATTTATTACAATAATATATATTGACAGAAATGCAATGGCATTTTCCTAATAGCCTCGATAAGTGAAGAAAAATTTAATTTCTGATAAACTACCTACATTAAAAAATCGTTTAAGTAGGTAATATAAATATAATATAATATATAAATATTATCATTCCTGCGTAAAATAAGAATATAAAACATGAAAATAATTTTAACGACTAGGTATTGCCAAAGAGTCTAGAGAAATACATTTTGTTTACAACACAAATGAGTAAACGAATTGATTATAATTTATGGGTTTATTCTAATTTATTATAATAACATGTATAATATATATACATATATAGGTATATACTATATTGATCACAATAAGTGCGTACTCGTCAGGTATAATTAAAGAATTGTATTAAGTGACAACACGAGAAAGTGACCAGCACCCCGATTATTATTATAATTCCATAGTTTATTTAATATAATAATTTAACTATATTATTACACATAATTTTGTACTTTTATACCTACTATATATGTTATTACTATATTCATTAACATTTTAAATTCTGTGGGCATGCATTATAATGGACACTATAATGTATAAGTGCCGAAAATTAAAATGTCTGATATCTATAGTAAGTATACCTACTACACTCATTAAACCAATAAGTAAATAGTTCGCATAAACATGTCACATGACTAGAAACATAAAATGTTCTAGGAAAAAATGTATTCACTACTTTCTCGCGAGTACTAAAAATAATCATTTAGAAACCTCCTGAAACTGAAAAGTGTTATTTGTATATTTTAAAATATTATTAATCAAACAGAAATTGATCAGGTGTAGGTAAAATCCGGTACAATCCTACAACCCGTTACAATTATACAATTAGAAATAATCGTATATTTTATTGCACTGATTCAATAGTGTGTTGTCCCATGTATGGCGCATAAAGATG